TGGGAATTAAAACAATTAAGAGGTAATTCCATGCTCCTCAATATCTCCAATCTTGCGATCAGAGGTCTTGCTGCGGAATGGTGGACCTGGGAACAAAAACAATTAAGAGGTAGTCCTATGCTCCTCATTATCTCCAATCTTGCGATCAGGGGTCTTGCTGCCGGAATGGTGGACCTGGGAACAAAAACAATTAAGACGTAGTCCCATGCTCTTCAATATCTCCAATCTTCCAATCAGAGGTCTTGCTGCAGGAATGGTGGACCTGGGAACAACAACAATTAAGAGGTAGTCCCATGCTCCTCATTATCTCTAATCTTGCGATCAGAGGTAATGCTGCCGGAATGGTGGACCTGGGAACAAAAACAATTAAGACGTAGTCCCATGCTCCTCAATATCTCCAATCTTCCAATCAGAGGTCTTGCTGCAGGAATGGTGGACCTGGGAACAACAACAATTAAGAGGTAGTCCCATGCTCCTCAGTATCTCCAATCTTCCAATCAGAGGTCTTGCTGCCGGAATGGTGGACCTGGGGAACAACAAAAATTAAGAGGTAGTCCCATGCTCCTCAATATCTCCAATCTTCCAATCAGAGGTCTTGCTGCCGGAATGGTGGACCTGGGAACAAAAACAATTAAGAGGTAGTCCCATGCTCCTCAATATCTCCAATCTTCCAATCAGAGGTCTTGCTGCCGGAATGGTGGACCTGGGAACAACAACAATTAAGAGGTAGTCCCATGCTCCTCAATATCTCCAATCTTCCAATCAGAGGTCTTGCTGCCGGAATGGTGGACCTGGGAACAAAAACAATTAAGAGGTAGTTCCATGCTCCTCAATATCTCCAATCTTGCGATCAGAGGTCTTGCTGCCGGAATGGTGGACCTGGGAACAAAAACAATTAAGAGGTAGTCCTATGCTCCTCATTATCAGCAAATCTTGCGATCAGAGGTCTTGCTGCCGGAATGGTGGACCTGGGAATAAAAACAATTAAGAGGTAGTCCCATGCTCCTCAATATCTCCAATCTTCCAATCAGAGGTCTTGCTGCAGGAATGGTGGACCTGGGAACAACAACAATTAAGAGGTAGTCCCATGCTCCTCAGTATCTCCAATCTTCCAATCAGAGGTCTTGCTGTCGGAATGGTGGACCAACAAATAACAACAGCAATTAAGAAGTAGTCCCATGCTCCTCATTATCTCCAATCTTGCGATCAGAGGTCTTGCTGCCGGACTGGTGGACCTGGGAACAAAAACAATTAAGACGTAGTCCCATGCTCCTCAATATCTCCAATCTTCCAATCAGAGGTCTTGCTGCAGGAATGGTGGACCTGGGAACAACAACAATTAAGAGGTAATCCCATGCTCCTCAATATCTCCAATCTTCCAATCAGAGGTCTTGCTGCCGGTATGGTGGACCTGGGAACAAAAACAATTAAGAGGTAGTCCCATGCTCCTCAGTATCTCCAATCTTCCAATCAGAGGTCTTGCTGCCGGAATGGTGGACCTGGGAATTAAAACAATTAAGAGGTAATTCCATGCTCCTCAATATCTCCAATCTTGCGATCAGAGGTCTTGCTGCCGGAATGGTGGACCTGGGAACAAAAACAATTAGGAGGTAGTCCTATGCTCCTCATTATCTCCAATCTTGCGATCAGAGGTCTTGCTGCCGGAATGGTGGACCTGGGAACAAAAACAATTAAGACGTAGTCCCATGCTCCTCAATATCTCCAATCTTCCAATCAGAGGTCTTGCTGCAGAAATGGTGGACCTGGGAACAACAACAATTAAGAGGTAGTCCCATGCTCCTCATTATCTCTAATCTTGCGATCAGAGGTCTTGCTGCCGGAATGGTGGACCTGGGAACAAAAACAATTAAGACGTAATCCCATGCTCCTCAATATCTCCAATCTTCCAATCAGAGGTCTTGCTGCAGGAATGGTGGACCTGGGAACAACAACAATTAAGAGGTAGTCCCATGCTCCTCAGTATCTCCAATCTTCCAATCAGAGGTCTTGCTGCCGGAATGGTGGACCTGGGAACAACAGCAATTAAGAAGTAGTCCCATGCTCCTCATTATCTCCAATCTTGCGATCAGAGGTCTTGCTGCCGGACTGGTGGACCTGGGAACAAAAACAATTAAGACATAGTCCCATGCTCCTCAATATCTCCAATCTTCCAATCAGAGGTCTTGCTGCAGGAATGGTGGACCTGGGAACAACAACAATTAAGAGGTAGTCCCATGCTCCTCAATATCTCCAATCTTCCAATCAGAGGTCTTGCTGCCGGAATGGTGGACCTGGGAACTAAAACAATTAAGAGGTAGTTCCATGCTCCTCAATATCTCCAATCTTGCGATCAGAGGTCTTGCTGCCGGAATGGTGGACCTGGGAACAAAAACAATTAAGAGGTAGTCCTATGCTCCTCATTATCAGCAAATCTTGCGATCAGAGGTCTTGCTGCCGGAATGGTGGACCTGGGAATAAAAACAATTAAGAGGTAGTCCCATGCTCCTCAATATCTCCAATCTTCCAATCAGAGGTCTTGCTGCAGGAATGGTGGACCTGGGAACAACAACAATTAAGAGGTAGTCCCATGCTCCTCAGTATCTCCAATCTTCCAATCAGAGGTCTTGCTGTCGGAATGGTGGACCTGGGAACAACAGCAATTAAGAAGTAGTCCCATGCTCCTCATTATCTCCAATCTTGCGATCAGAGGTCTTGCTGCCGGACTGGTGGACCTGGGAACAAAAACAATTAAGACGTAGTCCCATGCTCCTCAATATCTCCAATCTTCCAATCAGAGGTCTTGCTGCAGGAATGGTGGACCTGGGAACAACAACAATTAAGAGGTAATCCCATGCTCCTCAATATCTCCAATCTTCCAATCAGAGGTCTTGCTGCCGGAATGGTGGACCTGGGAACAAAAACAATTAAGAGGTAGTCCCATGCTCCTCAGTATCTCCAATCTTCCAATCAGAGGTCTTGCTGCGGAATGGTGGACCTGGGAACAAAACAATTAAGAGGTAGTCCCATGCTCCTCAATATCTCCAATCTTCCAATCAGAGGTCTTGCTGCAGGAATGGTGGACCTGGGAACAACAGCAATTAAGAGGTAGTCCCATGCTCCTCATTATCTCCAATCTTGCGATCAGAGGTCTTGCTGCCGGAATGGTGGACCTGGGAACAAAAACAATTAAGAGGTAGTCCCATGCTCCTCAATATCTCCAATCTTGCGATCAGAGGTCTTGCTGCCGGAATGGTGGACCTGGGAACAAAAACAATTAAGACATAGTCCCATGCTCCTCAATATCTCCAATCTTCCAATCAGAGGTCTTGCTGCAGGAATGGTGGACCTGGGAACAACAACAATTAAGAGGTAGTCCCATGCTCCTCAATATCTCCAATCTTCCAATCAGAGGTCTTGCTGCCGGAATGGTGGACCTGGGAACTAAAACAATTAAGAGGTAGTTCCATGCTCCTCAATATCTCCAATCTTGCGATCAGAGGTCTTGCTGCCGGAATGGTGGACCTGGGAACAAAAAACAATTAAGAGGTAGTCCTATGCTCCTCATTATCAGCAAATCTTGCGATCAGAGGTCTTGCTGCCGGAATGGTGGACCTGGGAATAAAAACAATTAAGAGGTAGTCCCATGCTCCTCAATATCTCCAATCTTCCAATCAGAGGTCTTGCTGCAGGAATGGTGGACCTGGGAACAACAACAATTAAGAGGTAGTCCCATGCTCCTCAGTATCTCCAATCTTCCAATCAGAGGTCTTGCTGTCGGAATGGTGGACCTGGGAACAACAGCAATTAAGAAGTAGTCCCATGCTCCTCATTATCTCCAATCTTGCGATCAGAGGTCTTGCTGCCGGACTGGTGGACCTGGGAACAAAAACAATTAAGACGTAGTCCCATGCTCCTCAATATCTCCAATCTTCCAATCAGAGGTCTTGCTGCAGGAATGGTGGACCTGGGAACAACAACAATTAAGAGGTAATCCCATGCTCCTCAATATCTCCAATCTTCCAATCAGAGGTCTTGCTGCCGGAATGGTGGACCTGGGAACAAAAACAATTAAGAGGTAGTCCCATGCTCCTCAGTATCTCCAATCTTCCAATCAGAGGTCTTGCTGCCGGAATGGTGGACCTGGGAACAAAAACAATTAAGAGGTAGTCCCATGCTCCTCAATATCTCCAATCTTCCAATCAGAGGTCTTGCTGCAGGAATGGTGGACCTGGGAACAACAGCAATTAAGAGGTAGTCCCATGCTCCTCATTATCTCCAATCTTGCGATCAGAGGTCTTGCTGCCGGAATGGTGGACCTGGGAACAAAAACAATTAAGAGGTAGTCCCATGCTCCTCAATATCTCCAATCTTGCGATCAGAGGTCTTGCTGCCGGAATGGTGGACCTGGGAACAAAAACAATTAAGAGGTAGTCCTATGCTCCTCATTATCTCCAATCTTGCGATCAGAGGTCTTGCTGCCGGAATGGTGGACCTGGGAACAACAACAATTAAGAGGTAGTCCCATGCTCCTCAATATCTCCAATCTTGCGATCAGAGGTCTTGCTGCCGGAATGGTGGACCTGGGAACAAAAACTATTAAGAGGTAGTCCTATGCTCCTCATTATCTCCAATCTTGCGATCAGAGGTCTTGCTGCCGGAATGGTGGACCTGGGAACAAAAACAATTAAGACGTAGTCCCATGCTCCTCAATATCTCCAATCTTCCAATCAGAGGTCTTGCTGCAGGAATGGTGGACCTGGGAACAACAACAATTAAGAGGTAGTCCCATGCTCCTCATTATCTTCAATCTTGCGATCAGAGGTCTTGCTGCCGGAATGGTGGATCTGGGAACAAAAACAATTAAGACGTTGTCCCATGCTCCTCAATATCTCCAATCTTCCAATCAGAGGTCTTGCTGCCAGATGGATTTTGTTGCTGCCTTTCAAAATCCTCAAGTAATGTGGTTTCAGTTATGTGGTACAGTACTAAGTTATTCTGGCTTATGGCCATATCATGTTGAAACATAAGTTCCTGTATGACCACTGAAGTTAAGCAACATCAAGCCTGGACAGTATCTAGATGGGTGACCACTTGAAAATACCAGGTGCTGTAAGCTTGGATGTGTAGATGGTGTTCTGGGCAATGGCTTGGAATTGTTAATTGGAGAGCCCAGTTCCAATTTCAGATGTGTTCATTATATTCATTTATGCACAAATATCATTCATAAAGATATGAATCCATCTCTTATCCTCCCAGCTATGCATTAATTAGTAAGACTTGTATCACTAAATCATTATTATCACAAAAAAATTTTTACAATTTAAAATATTTTCTGGTTTTAAATAACTCTCAATGGATTGATAAGACATAGAAAACAAATCAATCAATCTTCATGATTCTGTAGTGCCAGCCCACAAAGTTCAAAGAAGGATGGTTCTCACTAAAACTTACATGCTTAATGTCATTTGTAATTGTTGATTTGAGAAAATGATTATATCAAAAATTTAAATACAATGTCAATCGTTTTTTTCTGTGTTCTTGTTCTTTTACCTTAATAGTAGTTTTTCTCATATTCTCTAACACTCAGTAACCTTTTTGATCCTAGTGGCTTTTTTACCTTGCTTGGAGTGAAATGATTAAAAAAAGCTTTAGATATTTCTGAATGAGTTAGGCACCATGCATGACATACATATGAAAGTCTCAATCTGGCAAGGCTATTTTTTAAGAGCCATGCTGAAAATTTCCCTTGATCTGCTGCTGTCTTGATGATTTGGTTTAATCTGTATTGGATGAAAATCAGCCATAGAGGAAAATTTTTAATACAGATTTCAATGATTGCCTCATGAGTTCCTCTTGGCAATATGGGTAGGACTTTCCTAAAGTCTCCCCCACAAGAGCACAACTTTAATACCAAGAAAACAGCAGTAATGCTAGTGATATCATGAAAAGCAAATGAAGTGATCATAGAAGCTTCATCCAAGATGATCAAATCCAGGTTTTGTAAATAATTTGCATGGTCTGAAGTGGCTGGTACATTACAAATGCTGGTCCCCATGAGTGAAACAGGTAATTTGAACATTTTATGGATAATCTTTCCACCTGTGCGTAGTGTAGAGGCAATGCCTGTCCAAGCACCACTGCACATGTTGCAGTTGTTCCTTCACAGACATGAAATCATGGTATATTTATCAGTGGTGAAACTGAGGCATGCACTTCATGATGGCCATTAATGTTTAGGAGAGAAGTTGGAAAAAAATAATAAAATCAACAAATATTTAAAACTTACATATGTAAATTAATTAAAATCTTTATATTTTGTTTTGAAAATGCATCAGTGACATTGTTGGAGAAAATATCTGTACCATATTCTATGAAGAAAGAAGAAGCAACTAAAGTCACTGCTTTGTTTTCTTTATTTCTTTTTCTCATCCACTCAGCCCTTAACTCTACAACCATCTTTCACTCAGTTGTTCCACATTCTCTGTGCCTGGGCATAGAACAGACATAGGTGTGGTATACAAAAGCAGGGGCCTTCTCTGCTTCCACTACTCAACTAATCAATCTCTATCTATAAAAGGCAGGATGTGTGTGTGTGTAACGAATGCACAGCCGCAATTTTCAACGGATTTGCACCAAAATTTACATGCACATGCTCCAAGTTAGCAGGAAGGTCGAGACCGACTTTGCATTTCCCAACTTCCATCAATAGTGGAAATAATTGATTTTTTCATTCTTCTACGGCAGTTTTCATGTAGTTTGCAGCCATTTTCTACTGGCCAGAGTGAGAGCCTATAGCTTGCTGCCACGAATAGGCTGGAAGATTCTATTGGCCAGCATGAGAGCCAACAGCTGACTGACATGAATGTTAACTAGCATGCAAAAAAAATCGATAACTGCATTCGTCACAAGTGGAAAAAATTTAAATCTGCATGGCACTTTACTCCAATTGGCTCATTTGCTTGCTTAAACTCAACGTTGATTCTGATTCTGCAGAACTGGGTTGGGTGTGAAAAAATATTTGTTGTTAACATTCTTTTTTCATTCGGTTTTTCCAGTTACAAGTCCTTTTTTAAAGCTGATCGTTTTGTGTTCATTTTGTTTAGTTCTTTTTTCATAACAGATTTAATGTTTAGTATAGAGCTTAGAAAAAATTCACAATGTAAGATAGGCAAGAAGTAAGGTATGTAGCAACATCAGCATGGCAAAGGGTAGTGATTGCTGTATGAGTCGTACGATTTTTGAATCAAGCACGGGCAATGCCGGGCCATGCTGCTAGTTTATCATAAGATAAAAAATTGTTCACAATTTGTCAGAAGAAATAAAGGAATGGGAGATTTTGAAAAAGTTATCCTGAATGCAAGAAGGATACTAAAAATTATTCATAATTCATTTTTTATTACATAGAAATCATTTATCCTAAAAAAGAATCTAAGGCATGCAAGGACTTTTCACCATTAGTGTGTGCTACAGTTCAAATGTTTGAGACCATCTCTAGTAATTTTTTAAATAGGCCCCCAAAATAGTTGTTTTGTACTTTAAATAAGTGAAAACTATTATACATGGTTAAAAAAAAAGTGAGATATGATTTTTTATTAGAAATTTTATTATGGCAAAAAGTAAAAAAGCATTTTATGATTAAATTTTGCTCTCGTTAAAATATCCTCCTTTAGCCTTGATTACTGCAGCACAAATTTTTGGCATTTGTTGCAAAAGTTTCTCAAAGTATAAGTTTCATAATTGATTTCATTCTTTTTTCAATGACTCCAAAAGCTCTTTTACATTTTTTTTCACTCTTCTGTCAAGTTCATCCCATGCTAATTCTGGGGGTGGCTTCAAACTTTTGAACTGTAGTGTGTGTGTGTGTGTGTGTATGCATATATATGGGGCTGGTGCATCTTACTGCCAAAACACCTGACTGAGGGTTGCCCCCGCTTTTTTTGGGTCCTGTTGTGACCTCTTCCATTTTTTTTCAGTTCTATTTTATTGCCATCTGCCATTTCTTAAATTATATTTAAACTGACATTACAATCTCAGTCATCAACTAATACTATACATCATTTATCTGCATAGCTGGTGCAGTGTGTACTCTACAGGAACCCCTGATGAGTTTGGAACACCAGAAGGGCTAATTTCAGCAGTTTTTTTTAGCTTTTTGTACTTTTTACTTTTTTGTACTTTTTACTTTTTTTCTAAGTTATATTGTCAATCATCAACTATAATAATTGACAGGATTCGTGCTTACTACACCGAACCTCTCAACTGTGTGTGGGCCCTATGCTTACTGGGGAAGAGGGGCAGAAGTGCTCATTTCTGTAGCACTTATTTTTTGTAAATTGTAATTTTCTTTGTGAACAATTCTTTTAAATCAATTAAAAAGGTAGTATATCTCGGTAAAATAATTTTTTTATTCCAAGATCATCTACTAAGGAGGAGTTCTCTGATTTTTTTTTTTACTAATAGTAATACTAATCAGAACTCTATGGTTAGTAATTACAGTGAAATTTCTAATCCCTATTTTTACATTTCTAGAAAGAAAACTGAAAAAAGGATGGCTTAAAAACTAAAAATGTTTAAAGATTTCAACAAATGAAAAATTTTCCTGAAAACTGAAATACTGTTTTTAAAACAAATTTTTAAGACAATCCCATTTGTATTGTGTTGGAATCTTTGTAAAAAAATTTTTCTGTAGAGATGTGTTGGTGATTAATTTTTATGGAAATGTAAAAATTTGTGACTTAAACATTTTTTTGAGTAAAAGTTAGTCATGAAAATATTGGTGGTTATTACAAAAAGAATAACATTTTCTCAGATTTTTTAAATAAACCTATTCATTATAAAAATAAATAATTAATGATTATGTATTAAAATTTTCATTCAAGGTGGATATGCCCTGATTTTTGGTAAATTTAAAAATGCAAATATAATATGAATGAGGATGAATTGGGGGTCAGTGGGAGCAACATTACATTTTTATCTCTTTTTGCTACTGAAAAAAACATACCTATTATTATTATTAATCAAAAATAAGTATAAGTAATGAAAGGTTGGTAGACTGGTTACTGATTTATCATACTGGAAGGAAGTGTCACCAAAGCTTTTGTGCTTTGGACCATCTGTCCATTCCCAGGCAACATTCTTAATGCCAGTCAATCAAGTTTATTTGCACCTGTTGTCATGTATCACTTGTTGTAGAAAAATTCTTTTGTATTGTTTTTATTACAATTCTAAAGCAGATAAATAACTGTTTAAATCAGAAAGAATATGTTACAGTCAAACTCATTGGAGGTTAATTTTTTTTTTTTTTGAAATTGCTATATTTTGCTTAATCTTGTACAAGGCCTTTATGGTGGAGTACACAGTCTTACTGATAATATCTCATAAGATCAGCTTGTTAACCATCACCTGGTGCAATTGTGAAGAAGACAAATTTTTTTTATGATTATTTAAATAAAAACAAATTCATAAAAACAAAATCTGACGACGGTATTTTTTAGAGTTAAGATCGCTGGTATTTTTCTATTTACACAATTTACATAAACTTTATTATCATATTCACGACATTTCGGCCTTGTACACTCCAGCCTTCTTCAGGTGATATATGTTAGAATTTTGAAATGAAAATTTAGTCCATGGGGGTAGATTTGTAACACCTTTTCACTGCCACCTACACCCAGTAGTGTAACCACGCTTAATGGTCTGGTCCTCAGAGTCCAGAGACTATGCTTTAACTATGGACTAATTCTGCATTGGTCAGTGCTGACACTGGTCCAAACTGGTTGTTGGTCGCTGGCTGTTTTGATCCACACCATCTCTGTGCACATTGTATTTTTGATCTCAGAGCAGTGGAAAATCAAAGGTTATAGATTTGCAGCACCAGTCAAGCTGTGGCAAGTGCTATATTAAAGAAAAAAAATAATATCTTTATGATGAAAATTAAAGTGATAGATTTGTGGGGTTAATCTTCAACTGGTTGATATAGCTCTTGGTATAACAAAAATTAACACTTCTGGCATCAATCTCTATATTGACACTGGGCCTTCCCTAAACTTCTCGAATGGCTGGGTTCAAAGTTTTGGAATAAGGAATTCTGGTTGGCAGCTGATGTCGATTCCAG